TCCATCAACAGATAAATGGATAAACCAAATTTATGGTCCATCCATACAATGGAATATTAATTTTTTTTAACTTTTAAAAAAATATTTATTTATTTTGGCCGCGCCAGGTCTTAATTGCGGCATGTGAACTCTTAGTTGCCGCATCCATGTGGGATCTGGTTCCCCGACCAGGGATCAAATCTGGGCCCCCTGCATTGGGAGTGTGGAGTCTTACCCACTGTGCCACCAGGGAAGTCCCCTACAATGGAATATTATTCAGCCATGAAAGGAATGAAGTTCTGATAATGCTACAACATGGCTGAAACTTGAGGACATTATGGTCAGTGCAGTAAACCGATCATAAAAAGACAGATACTGTATGATTGCACTTACACTCAGTGGTACTTAGTGTAGCCGTAATCGTAAGGACAGAAGGTAGAATGGTGGTTGCCAGGCTCTGGGGGCAGGGCGGAGTCAGGAGTTACTGTTCAACAGGTGTAGAGTTTCAGATTTACAAGACCAGAGAGTCGTGGGAATGGATGGCGGTGATGGCGCACAACAAAGTGAATGTATGTAATACCACTGACCTAAAAAATGGTTAAAATGGTAAATTTCATGCTATATGTATTTTAACACACAAAAAAGTCACATATTTTAGGATTCCACTTATATGGAGTATTCAGAGTAGACAAATCCATAGAGACAGAGAGCACATTAGTGGTTCCAGGGGCTGAGCAGAGGGTGGAATGGGAGAAGCTGCCTAAGGGGTGTGGGGTTTTGCTTTGGGCTGTAGGAATGTTCTGGAACTAGACAGAGGTGGTTGCACACCATTGTGAATTTACTAAATGCCACCAGATTGTTTGATTTAAAATGGCTAAATTTGTGTCATGTGAATTTCACCTCAGCTGTTTTTTAAGGAATTAGTTCCGGTACCTTCCAGAAATTGTGATGGTAGTTTCCTTCTCATATGTGGCTTTTGTTGCTCTGTCCCCCCAACAACCCTTCCACATGCTCCTCCTATTTAAACATGTGCTTTCGGGGGAGCTTATACTGGGCTTTGAGGCTCGTCTGCTCGGTTCACATCACTGTGATTCTCTGGGTTGCCGTCTCTGGACGGGCAAGAATCAGTTTGAGAACCAAACGCTCACTCCTTACCCAGCGTGGTACTCTGGGCTGACTAAATGCTTCTTCCAGTTACCTTTTCTTTAGTCTTCTTGAATAATCCATAGGGAAAGCTCTGGGACCCTTGAACTCAAGTGGAGCTCATGACCTATTGATTTGGGCACTTTCACAAAGCATTTCTTTAAAAAATTCACGAATACATTGTTAAAATAGCACATAATTGTAGTTGTAACTCCTCTTCCCTGGTGATATCTTTGAGCATCAACATACCTTGAAGATAACTTCAATGAATATTTTTCCTTAAGCGATTCAAGGAAAAATTATAACTCAATCGTTTTTCCCTCTTATTTGTATGAAAATCTCTCTTCCTCTCTACCACAGTCACAGAATAGCCAACATTTACTGAGCACTTACTGTATGCCAGACACTATTCTAAAAACATCGTAATACTATTATCTTCCCCATTCTGAAGACGGTGAGGTTGAGGGGCTTACCTGCCCACCCACTCAGTGGGGAAACCAGAACTGAACCCAAGCCACTATGGCCACATAGCCTGCATCCCTAACCACCAAGCCCACTGCTTCCATCCACACTGCCCTGTGTCTCATTCTAGCCAGAGACAGAGCCCAAGAGCTCTCAGAAACTCATTCCAACCTCTTCACTCTCCGGGCGAGGCCACCTGATGGCCCACAGCTAATTCCAAACCACTTGACAATGAAGGGAAGGGTCGGCCTTTTCCATTCACTGAAAATTCATTCAGGCATTTCTTCTCTTCTGCACCGTGCACTATCATCTCCACCTCAAAAACTACATGCAAAGTTCATTCATTATGTCACACCAGGTATTGCCAAGCTGTTCTCTATAACTGCCTTGAACCTGCTTTACTATATTGCACTTAGGCAAGTAGAGTTTCCCAGAATCAGCTGTAACCTGGCTGCTCCCTCTGAGGCCATTAGTTTATTCTTAAAAATCTCAGGAATCGTGTTAGCTCAGGTCATGGGGCAAGCCCTGCATCTGTGTAGCCCCGTGAGGTTGCGACTGGGCAGGGGAGTGACAGTGAGCTTCAGAGGAGGGGATACAGTTGCCACCTTGTGACAAATACTTGTTGAGCACCTACTGTGTGCCATGTACTACTCCAGGCACCAGGGAAATACGGGGAATGAAATAAAGCCGGTGCTGCCTGGGGAAGCAGGCTACTGAGCGTAGTCAGAATAAGGTGATGTCAGTTCAAATCATTGTGGGGCCGGGGGCTGTGGAGGGGGCTGCGGCAGCATGACCCAGGGGAGCTTTCTGAGGCTAACGCGTACCAGGGTTGGGGGTCCCACGTTGGGGGGCTGCAGGCAGGTGAGACTTCGCCAGGGGAGGTGCACATACTCATTACGTGGCAGACTTGCACAGTTTTAGTGCAGAACTTCAAATTAATTCCTGTCCCAAACTGTTGTTGGCATTAGGTTTAATCCCTATCCTAGGTCTCAGAAACATAAGTAGTTTTAAAGTCATATAAAATAAACTCACCACAAAGTGAGTTTTGCACAACCTGATTTTCTCACTTTTGGGGAAAGTTCTGTAAGGTTGGACACTTGTCTAAAAGTATCTGAAAGCTCCGTCTTTGAGAATTTGGGCCCAGGTGTGAACTGAGACACCTGGAAAGTTGTCCCAGATATCAGGACAGAGACAGCCTTCAACTCAGGAACATTCAGTTCGGTGATGGCCTGGGTTTTCTTTCAAGAAGCATCAACTCATCCACTTTAAAATTAGACACTATGGTGCTCTGAGAGGTGGGTGGCCACAGGTTATCCTGTAAGTGAACAGACTGAAACTCCAAGAGCCTGAACCACCGGCCCAAAGGCTGACAGATAACAGGGGGTGGATGTGGGTGCACATCCAATCCAAGACCCCAGGCCTGTTCTCTGGGCACCCGGTGGAGGTCCAGAGCCTCTTCTCCACTCCCAGGGCACCTGCCCTCCTTGACCCCCTTGTAGGGTAAATGGCAATTGTGGGATGCCTTCTGCTCACAGGATCCCAGATTCCCAAGGCTTCTCAGGACCAACAGGTTCAGGGCAGGACTTGCCACCTTGCAGCCCACCCCTCTGTCCCACCACCCTCCTGACCCCTTCGGAAGTGTGCTGGGCTCTTAGGTCAGACCAACTGTCTCTCTGGGATCATTTTTCTTGGCTGGACCAGTGAGCACTGGCCTGTGCACACCTGCTTGAGTGCCAGGCCCTGTAAGGGGCAGAGGGATGCAGGTAAAGAAGCTGCAATCCCGAGGGAACCTCCCATGGCGAGCAGGGCACAGAAGCCCTGTTCTGACAGGGCAGGAGGATAAATACAGGGCACAGCCGTGTGGAGAGGAAAGCCACCGCTTCCAGGCTGCTTCCTGGCTGGGAGCCACAGGTCAAGTGCGGAAGCCTGGCTTTCCACCATTTGTAGAATGGGTACCCTGTCCTGGAGGATGGCTGTTAGGGCTGGATGGCTCTAAGTGACTTGATTTTTGTTCAAGCACAAAGAGAGGACACATTAGTTCTGTTTGGAAGGAGGGAGGCATGGGAACTGGGCTTGAATGATTCTCATTAAAAAAATGCTGTGATCTGGGAGTCTGGGGTCTCCTGTGTTTGCCTGGATGATACAACCTGTGAACACACATCTCAGAGAGTCTCGGGGCGAATTCAGGCCGACTTTCTTCCCTTAGACCAGCATCTTTGGGATGCTTTACAAGTAATAGAGTATTCAGGTGAGGCCACCACGAAGCTCATGAACTACAGACACTAAGGTCCGCATTTCACAAAGGCGATTTCAGACTAGACCTACACAGCGGCCCCTCTAATGGGATAAAACCACAGGTCACCTGCACCCAAGCCCCCAGTCCACTGGAAAGGTTAGGGCTCTGTTCTCTGTGGCCCACCTGGGCAAGTCCACTTGTGATCCCAACCCAGACCACTGTTCCTGTTTGCAGACTGGATGCCAAACTATGAGATCAAAACAGGGCATCTCCTCAGAAGCAGAAGTGGGTGCATCATCTCTGTGGGGTATGCCCAGCCCTCCAGTACAGGGATGTGGCTCCACCAGGAATGCAAACATCTTAGAGTTTGAAGGTGTCCACTGAGAGCAAACGGTGGCCTCTGAAGTTCCTCCTGATGCAGAGAGCCTGGGAGTTGGAGGGTTAGGGTCAGGAAGCCAAACCTCACTTCTGTCCACTTTGAAATCTCTTTTCAGGACGCTGAAGCCGACTTGATGCTCAGTTGCTAATTATGCACAGTTTCAGCTACCTTCAACTTATTTTTTAAATTATGTGTTTTAAGTCTTAATTAGACACCTGAAAGTACCAGCTAAACTTTTAAAGTGAAAATGCTGTTGGGTAACAGGAGTAGAGTGTAATTACTGTACCAAAACACTCTGTAATCTAGTTCACAGGAAAAAGGGAAAGACAGACCCGACGCACTTTTTGCAGTTCACAGGAAGAAATACAAGACAGCTTCCACCACACTATTCTAGACCTGAAATCACTGTCTTGTTTACTAGGCAATGTTCATTATTTAAATCGACTGCCTTTCCAATATAAGTCTATCCTGGTATTTTTTAAGTAAAAGTTCTTTGTCTTCGTGCACAAAGTTCATTGGTTTGTCCTACCAGTTTTGAGGTAACGAATAACTCAGGAACATTCTCATTGTTGGCGACAACTTCACAAGCGTCTTTTTGTCCTAGCCCCCTCCCCTGCACTCCCTTCACACCCCAGGAATGCAAATCTGTCTTGAAAAGCATACTTCTCTCATAAATATTCATGAGGTTAAGGGAAAAGTTTGCTAACCCTTCGTTTAAGTGACCGGAAAAAGTGAAAGCTCCCTCCCGCTGCCGCAGCCGCGGCCTCAGGACCCTCCCCACAGCCGCCGGCCGTCCCCTACCTCGTTGCCCGAGCCCCGGTCGCCCCGGCCGAGCGCCTTGCTGAGAGCCATGGTGGCGCCGCCTTTGTCCCGTCCGCGGGGAGGACAGCGCTCGGAAGGCCCGCCCACGGGGCGTGGGAAGGGCGGCGGGCTAGGGGCGGACCCTCCCGGCCGCGCCCCCTGCCCGCCTCACAGGTGGGGCGGGGGCGGGGCCTGGGGCCTCGGGGGACGGGGAGGGGCGCCTCTCCCCCAGGGGCTCCGGCGCGAAAGTGCGAGGGGGTCCCACCCCGGGGGCTACGGGGCGGGAGGAGGCGGACCCTCCCGGCCGCGCCCCCTGCCCGCCTCACCCGTGAGGCGGAGGGGCGGGGCCCGGGACCGCGTGGGGACGGGGAGGGCCGCCTCTCCCCCGGGGGCTCCGGGGCGAAAGTGGGAGGGGGGGTCCCACCACTGGGACTTCCGGGGCAAAGGTTGGAGGGGGTCTCACCCCGGGGGCTCCGGGGCGGGAACAGGCGGACCCTCCCGGGTCGCGCCCCCAGCCCGCCTCACAGGTTGGGCGGAGGGGCGGGGCCAGGGACCGCGGCAGGGGCGGGGGGAAGGGACCTTTCACCCCCAGGGGCTCCGGGGCGAAGGCTGGAGCGGGTTTCATCCCCGGGGACTCGAGGTAGGAGGGGTCTTCTCTCCCCTGGGGACTCCGGGGAGAAGGTTGGAGGGGGGTGGTCTCACTCCCGGGGGCTCCGGGACTGGGTGTTGGAGGGGGTCTCATCCCCGGAGGCTGCTGGGCGAGGCAGGTTGGGGGCGTCTCAGCCCCGGGGTGCGGGCGGCCTTGTAGGTGCCTCGGGCCGCACCCTCACCTGGGAGAAGACCCCGCAGGGGCGGAAGGCCGGGGGCGAGCTCCTCCCTCTCCGAGCAGGGGCGGGGGCGGAATTCTTTGTGACTTTTATTCTCGCAGAGCCTGGGGACCTACCATTTTGTTCGCAGACCAGTGGCAGTGGCGCTGCACCCGATTTCCGTGGGTGTAGACAGACTGGACTCTGATTTCTGCTGGTGAACGCTATCGGATTTTGATTTCCCCCAGTGTAGATAGATTCACACCTGACATGCAACGGTGTAGACAGACTAGTGAAGATAACTGGACCCTGATTTCCACTGGTGTAGGTGGAGCGGACCGATTTCCGCCGGTGTGGAAGGACCGGCCTTCTCTTCCCGCCAAGCGAGCTCCCTGGCTTATGGGACGCTCTATGCCCGGTAAACAGAATTCGTGAGCCTCTGGGCCTCAGCGAGAGGCCACCTTCCCCGCCTTGGGGAGTCGGGCGCGCGGACAGTTGAACAGGCTCTCACTGGCTTTGAAACTGGAATGCCTGGGTTTCTGGAGAACCTACAGAAACAAAGTACCCCCACCTCCAGCCCCAGCCCGGGGAGACAGACGCCTTCCCTGTAGCTAGGCGACCGTAGGGCTCTGGCTTGAGGAGCAATTGCTGTGTGCTGGGGATGCAGCCAGGTTCTCAGAGGAACCCGTCCCCTCGGCGGGGGCGGGGGGGGGGCGTGTCTCCCCACCCTTGTCCTGTACTGTGTCCCGACTAGAAACAGGGACACTGACTCAGTCCCCCCACTGCGGACAAACGCCCTCATTTAGAGATAAAGTTCAGTTGTGCTGGAGCTGCATGGCTTCAGGTACAGACTGAAAGAAGCTGAGGGCGGCGGGATGAGTTCTGCCCCTTCACCCAGTACCGGTTCTTTGAATTCCTCTGTGGCTCCTCTGTTCTGCTTCCTAGAACCTCCAGCCCTTCCCACTGGGCCCAAGCAGACCCAGCCCCGTCTCAGTGCTGGGGTGTTACTCATTGTCTGCACCTCCCTGAGGCCCCCTGCCCCATCCTCTTCTCACCCCTTACCTGCCCATGACACTCCAGAAACAGAAGCCACATAAACAGGCGCTGCATAAATCTCTGTGGTCCCAAAGCACCTGCCAGGCCAGAACTGGGCTGTGTTGGCGTGCTTCCAGAACAGGGGACATTGTCCCTGTTCAGCGCCTCCAGGATCCGGGAGCTGACGTCAGGGGAGGACAGCAGTGGCCTGGATGCCTGGTTAGGGTGCAGCTCTGGAATCTCACTCTTACCGGAGATTTTGGGGCCCATAGGGGTTGTGCCTCTGTTGCATCTAGGCAAAGCTGGGCCTGCACTGGGAAAGCCCAGGAGTCCTCATGTGCTGTCTCCAGCCGCAATTTCTAAGGATCGGATTCTTTCTTTGCTGTGTATCCATAGAGTCAGGGATGTCTTCTAAGAAGTTTTCCCCAAAACTTGGACTATTGAAATGGCTTAGTTTATTCAGAAGGTATTTATTGGTCACCTACTTTTGGCCAGTCACTGCATGGCACCTGTCAGGCCCCTTGGGGATCTGACATTCCAATGGAGAGAGACAATAAACCAATGAACAGAGAAATACCTCTGAATAAGGCAGATGGTCAAGCCAGAGAAGACTGTTCAGGGACCAGAAGAAAGGGAGGGAGGGAGCTGCTTGTGATTTCCAGGCAGAAGGAGCCACCTGTGTAAAGGCCCTGAGACCAGAATAGATCTGGTGTGCTTGAGGGACAGCAGGAAGGCCGGTGTACCCAGGAGCACGGTGAATGAGGGCACGCACGTGCGGAGGAGACAAGGCTGGAAAGGCTGAAGGGATAAGTAAGTCCTAGTGATGAGTTTTGCTTTATTCTGAGTGTTGTGGGAAACCACCGTGGAGAGAGTTTGGAGAGGAAGCAACATTATCGGATACATTCCAAACATCTCACCTGGCTGCAGTGTGGACACCACAGCTGCCTGAGGCAGGAAGAACAGTCAGGAAGCCACTGCCAGGATCCTGGTGAGAGCGATGGGAGCTGGCTTAAGGTAGGAATGCCAGAGGTTGTGAAAAATGGTCAAAGCAGGATCTATGTAAAGGCAGAGAGAGCCGAGAGGAGTGACCCATCTCTGGCTCTGGGGAGTGAGGGAGAAAGAAGCTGAGGAGGAAGGTGGCAGGCAGTGAATTAGCTGATCGTGGCCTCTGCGAAACGCTTCACATGCTCCCCTGGAGACCGCCAAACTACATGCCCCAGACATTACAGATGTGCCTGTTTTTGCTTTTCCGTGCACCACATAAGACGTGGGAGGAGCCACAGGAGTAGTGGCTGTCTCAGCAGATTGGCCGTGGAGGTGATTGGTTCCTCTGGGGCAGTTCACGTCTTGTCCCTGGCAGCACTGTTGTCGAGCAGAAGGGAACAGGGCAGTGGGGATTTTCCTAACACAATCCTATAGCATTATCCGTAGTTCCTCCAGGTTGCTGACGTTTCTGGCTATTCCTGGTTCCCTGACCCTCTCAGAGATGGTATAGTCCACCTGATATGTTCTTTTTTTTAATTGAAGTATCGTTAATTTACAATGTTGTGTTAATTTCTGCTGTACAGCAAAGTGATTCTTTTTCATATGCTTTTCCATGATGGTTTATCAGAGGATATTGAACGTTCCCTGTGCTGTACAGTAGGACTTTGTTTATCCCACCTGATATCTTCCGTACTGCTTAAATTAGCTACAGTGGATTCTGCTGTCTGCAGTTAAGAATCAGCACCAAGACAGCAATTCAGGGATTTGGGGCCTGATCAGCAGGTGGAAGTTGTATCCACACATAGGCATGTTTAGAGATGAGGGAACTAAATGTGCAGACAGAAGGGCAGAGGGACCAGGGCTGAGCTGAGCAACATGACGTCACAAGAGCAGATGGTCCTCCTTCTGAAACTCTTCCAAAAAACCGAAGAGGAGGGGATATTTCCCATCTCATTCTCTGCAGCCAAAGCATAACAAGAAAAGAAACCTGCAGGCCAATATCTATGATGAATAAAAATGCAAAAAGATCAATAAAATTGTAGCAAATAGAATCCAATAGTATATTAGAAAGATTATTCACCATGAACAAATGAAATTTATCCCAGGAATACAAGGGTGGTTCAACATAAGAAAATCAATCAATGAAACGCATCACATTCACAGAACAAAGGGAAAAAAATGATCATTTCGATTGATGCAGAAAAGGCATTTTAAAAATTCTAACACCTTTTCACGATAAAAGCTCTCAGAAAACTAGGATTAGAGAGAAAATTCTTCAACAGATTAAGCAGTATTTATGGAAAACCCACAGTTAACATCACACACAATGGTGAAAGGCTGAAAACTCTCTCCTTAATAAGATCAGGACTCAGACAAGGATGCATGCTTTTAGTACTTCTATTCAACATTGTACTGGAACTTCTAGCCAGTACAGAGAACAAAAAGAGCTGTTACAGAGAGCAAAAAGAAATAAAAGGCATTCAGACTGGAAAGGAAGAGGTAAATTGTCTGTATTCACAGTGACATGATCCTATATATATAGAAAAGGCTAAAGAATCCACAACTAATAGATAATTCAGCGAAGTTGCAGGGTACAAAATCAATACACACAAATCAGTTGTGTTTCTGTACACCATCAATGAAAAATCCAAAAGAGAAATTTAAAAAATAATTCCACTAATATAGCATCTAAAAGAATTAAATACTTAGGAATATATCTAATCAAGGAGATGAAAGACTTGTATGCTGAAAACTACAAAACATTGCTGAAAGAAATTATTGATGACCTAAATAAATGGAAAGACATCAGCTGTTCGTCAATAGGAAGAGTTAACATCGTCAAGACGTCAATACTACCCAAAAATGATCTACAGATTCAAGACAATTCCTATCAAAATTCCAGCAGGCTTTTTCACAGAAATGTAAACTCTGATCCTCAAATCCACACGGAAATGCAAGTGGCTACTAATAGCAAAAACAATCTTGAAAAACAGAAAAAGTTGGAAGACTCACAGAACCTGAATTTGAAACTTGCTACAAACTTACTATTGAAACTTACTACTATGTCTGGCATAAGGACAGACATATAGACCAATGGAACAGAGCAGAGAGCCTAGAAATAAACTCTTACATATATGGTCTAATAATTTTCAACAAGTGTGCCAAGAACATTAAGTGTGGTAAGGACAGTCTTTTCAACAAGTGATGCTGGGAAGATTGGATATACACATGCCAAATAACAAATTTGGGCCCTTATCTTGTACCATATACAAAAATTAACTAAAAATGGGTCAAGGGGGAATCCCCTGGCGGTCCAGTGGTTAGGAGTTGGCACATTTACTGCCGGGGCCCAGATTCGACCCCTGGTCGGGGAACTAAGATCCTATAAGCCAAGAGGCCAAAAAAAAAAAAAAGAAAGAAAAAAAATGGGTCAAAAAACCTAAATGTAAGAACTAAAGGTATAAAATTCTTTTCTTTTTACATCTTTATTGGAGTATAATTGCTTTACAATGGTGTGTTAGTTTCTGCTTTATAACAAAGTGAATCAGTTATACATATATAATACTTAGAAAAAAACAGGGATAAATCTGAATGGCCTTGGATTTGGTGGTGGTTTCTTAAATTGACATCAAAAGCACAAGCAACAGAAGAAAAAAATATATAAATTGGACTTCATCAAAATTAAGAACTTTTGTCCATCAAAGGACATTGTCAAGAAAGTGAAAAGACAACTCACAGAATGGGAGAAAATATTTGTGAATTATGTATTCTATAAATTATTAATATCCAGAATATATAAGGAGCTCCTAAAAACAACAGCGACAAATGACCCATTTACAATGTGCAAAGGACTTAAATAGACATTTCTCCAAAGAAGGTATACAGATGGTCAACAAGTACATGGCAAGGTGTTCAGCCTCATCATTGATTAGGGAAATGTAGATCAAAACCACAATGAGATAGCACTGCACACTAGGGTGACTATAAAAAAGGGGGGATAATAAGTGTAGCTGAGGATGTGGAGAAATTCGAATCAGTATACACGGCCCTTGAAATGTGAAGTGGTTCAGCCTGCATGGAAAACAGTCTGGTATTTCCTCAAAAAGTTAAACACAGAGTCACTATGTAACACAGCAATTCCATTCCTAAGTATATGCCCAAGAGAAATGGAAATATAAGGTCACACAAAAATTTGTACGCAAATGTTCATAGCAGCCCTGTTCACGATAGCCAGAAGGTGGAAAAAATCCAAAGTCCGTTCACAGATGAATGGTAAACAAAATGTGGTCCATTCATACAATGGACTATTATTCAGCTGTAGAAAGGAATGAAGTTCTAATGCACCCTACAACATGGATGAGCCTTAAAAACATTTTGCTGACTCAAAGAAGCAGGCACAAAAGGCCATACATTGTATGATTCTATTTATGTGAAATATGTAGAGTGGATAAATCCAAAGCAAATGATTGTTTGCCAGGGGCTGGTGAGAGGGCCTAATGGGGAGCGATTGCTAAATGGTTATGGGCTTTCCTTTTTGGGAGATGAAAATATTCTGAAGCTAGAGAGTGGTGATGGTTGCGTGACATTCTGAATGTACTAAATGCCACTGAATTGTACACTTAAAAATGGTTAAAATGGTGAATTTTATGTTATGTGCATTTTACCTCAGTAAAAATAAATTGCAAATAAATTGAAGAACTAAATATGAGAAGCAAAAGCTTAAAAAAGAAAAGAAGAACATTATAAAGTTGGGATAGGGAAGTATTTAATAAATGATGAGGCACAAAGCTCAGACAATGAATAAAATGATTGATATATTTGACTACATTAAAATTTCATACTGCTGGGTGATAAATTTAAAAGCTGAGCCATAAAATGGGAGGTGTTTGAAACTGTCGTAGCCAACTAGTGATCAGAGTCCAGAATATATAAAGGGCTCCTGAAAACTTATAATGGGGAAATCGGCAAATTATGAATTGGCATTTCAAAATGTCAGTCTTGAAATTGGCATTAAACCCTAATGCTCAATAAACAAAAAATGTTCACTCTTTCTAGTAATTAGGAAAATGCAAGTGTAAACAAGCTTTCATTTCATACCTGTCATTTGGCAAAATATTGAAGGGCTAAAAATATTTAAAGTTAAAAATATTTTTTCTAAAATGTAATATAAAGCTAAAATATTTAACATTTTTTAATACTGAGATTTAAAAACCCCAGGTGTTTTGTTCGCTCAGTGTTGGCGGATGTGGCAGCGAATTCACGTCAGCAAATCGCCTCAAGGCTCACGCCTGCGAGGGCAGTGGAGTCACAAGTCCTCACCCAGCACCACAAGGGCTCAGGGTCAGAGGCATCCTAAGTGCATCAACGTGAGAATGGAAAAGCGAATTGTGACCTGCGTGCAGCGGAACATACAGTGAATGAACACAGAGAAGCCTCAAAAGCAATGTTGAGTAAAACAGACACCAAATTACAAAAAGGTCAGAACGGTATGGTGTCATTTAGGTAACCCTAGAAATACCCGCAATGCTCTGGGGCTGCTACCAACACACGCCCATGCGGTTAAAAGCATAAAATTGTGTGTGGAGTGACACACCAAGGTTTTGTTCCAGGAGCACCCTGTGCTAGCGTCTGCCCAGATCTGCTTTTCCTCTGTGTGGGATGTTGCATGAGGAACCCCCAGCCTCGTTGAGAGCTGCACTGTCTGGGGTTTCTGCTATGGGAGTTGCCAAGGGCTGGGCTATGGATCAAATTGCTTTTCAACTTTAAAATTCTATTCTAGTCTGCATTTGCTATGGCTTTCATTTTAAGCTGTAATCAGAAATTATCTTGGGAAATATACTGGCCACAGACACCAATTTTATGTGAAACAAGTGTGTGTCTTGGGAAGGCAGAGGATGGGTGGAGAGTGTATCAAATGAGACCTCCATAAAGGAGCAGCCCGTGCCACCCTCATCGGGGCGGGGCTCCTGCCCAGGGAGCCCCTTGAGGGAGGCTGCACACGTATGGCGTGTGGTGGAAGTTCCCTGCAATGACAGCTCCACTCTCAGGCCAGAGGAAACCCTGTGCGGCCAGCTTGGGTGCACTCCTTGGAGCAGCTGTGTGCACTGGCCAGGGCAACGCAGACCTCAGCAAACCATGGTGATGCCAGCGCCATCCTGGTTCAGTTCTTTGTGCCTTCCCACATTGACCTCCCGCCCCCTGCAGGCTCCCTCACACCCCCCTGGCTTCTTCCCAGCCTCCCTTCCTTCCTGACCCCAGGGCTCCTCTGCGTCGGACCGGCTTGCCCCATCTGTGCTGTGAATTTTTCACCCCTTATTTCCCAAGATAAAGGAAATACAGAGAGCGGTAAACAGAGGGGAAGTGTGCTTGGGGAGTGGGTGTGGGTGCTGCTTGCTTGTTAACCGCCCCCCCCCCCAGGGTGGCCATGAGGTCTGCCTTCCAGGGAAGCAGCAAGGAGATGAGGGAGGCACTTGTGGACCCAGTCACCTCTCCTGTGCACTTGCTGTTCTTTGGGTTCTGAGCTGGTCACAGGCAGATGCAAGCCCTGCCCTCAGAGGCCTCCAGTCCCAGTGGGAGAGAGACCCCAACCAAAGAAAAGACTAAACAAGTTGTGAGAGCGCCAGGAGGAGACAGGAGGGAGTGGGGCTGGGATCCACGTCAGGCTGAAGGGAGAGAGCGGCTCACTGCCCAGAGGTCAGAGGCCAGGCCCACCTCGCAGAGAGAGCAGCCGGCAGGGCATCCCCAAGGCAGGATGAGCGCAGTGCGTTCCGAGCCTGCCAAGAGCCAGTGTGACTCAGAAGAGAGTCGGAGAGGGGCTGGGGACCCGGCCAGTGTGGCCTTGGGCGGCCCTGGGGGGAGGCCCGTGGCTATCTGCTGGCTGTCCACAGCAGGAAATAGGAAGTGTCCAGGTGTGGGATGGGTGACAGGACTCCGGCCCTGGCAGGCTGTGGCTTTTAGTGTTAGCTTTTAGTGTTTGAGCTTTTAGGTTCTGTTGTTTGTTCATTTAGAAGTCTTAGGTAGAGAGACATTTTGAACATGTTCAGTGACCCAGATTTGTTGTGAACTCTTCAATAGCTTGTTTGTAGAACATTTAAACTTTTCATAGTTTTTGTTTTACAGACCTCACTTACATTTAAAAAGTGGAAAATTCATTTCGTTTTGTTTCAATCCCTTGTTGTTCCAATAGATTATAGCAAAGAGTATGATAACGGGAAATATGTCCGCAGTCACCAAACATCACAGAGCAGCTCTGCCAAACGGATGTGACGGCCACTCAGGGACACAGCGGCACAAAGATGAACTCTTCTTGGACCCAGAACAGGACTTTCCTTTTGAGCCCATGTGCCCTCGACAAGGGGCCGGCTGCCGACCCTGTTCACGGGTCACCAAGCATGCTGGCCGCTGGCTGTGAGGGGAGAGCGTTTGTCTCCCCGGCAGCCCTGTCCACACAGCCCTGAGGGGAAATCCCCATGTCCTGAGTACCTGATTCTTCTTTTCCAGAAACACTTAAACAGTTGCTCGCTGTGGACAAAGTAGGAAAGCAAGGATGATCAACAAGTGCCTGTGTGAAGCAGCTGAAAGTTTTACTAAAGTACAACAAGAAAAGAGCTGCATTTGTTTAAAAGTTTTGCTGCCGTGTTTACATGTTTTTTCCTCAAACTATTGGCATTTGAAATTTCAATAACGATTAGAATTCTAAGACCACTGAGATAAAGCATTTTTAACATGTTAAAAGTTTCTAACACATTCATTTGCTGATTCTTCCAAGAAAAAAATAGTAGCTACCCGCCTCGGTCACTAGCAGTGCATCTTGGAGCATATAAATTAAAATTATTTTCATTTCAGAAAGAGTCAAAACCAAATAGTATGAAATCCACCTGCTGTAAACCTGCACACCCGTCTCCAGGGCACTCAGTGGGAGACTCAGGGAGCGGTGTGCTCACACCAGCCCCGCTGATACACCAGAGCACAAATGGACATGTTCCCCGCTCCCTGGAGTGGGAGTTTGTTCAGAGCAGGGCCACACGGGAGGACAGGAGGACCCACGTGTGCGCAAAGCATGGCGTGGGCTCAGAAGCTGCAGGCCCAGCCACTGAGCGCCAACCAGCTCTGGGCTTCAAGGACATGGCAGGGCTCTGAGGTGCTGCGGGAGGCGTCGCAGCCTGCCTCTTGCTGCTACAGAAGCTTGCTGACTGCCACGGAGCTCGGTCTGAGCTGCCTTGGGTGGAGAGTGAGGGGGAGGGGCTCACAGAGCCGGCAGGACACCCCACCCTGTCCTGCAATGAGGACAGCAATGGCCGGCAGGCCAGCTGTGCCCATAGGGACTCCGCACATGCTGTTCCCCATGCTGTTCCCACCATCGGGACGGCTCTCTCCCCACCATGCCCCACCCAAGTCCTGCTTATCCGCAGGTATCAGCTTCAGCCCTCCTTTTGCGAATCGCTGGGTCCCTCCGGAAGCCTCTCTCTGCAGCTGCTGCTGTTCGCAGTGTAACTTCGCACGTTATTCCTCAGTTGTCCGCCTTCCCCGCTAGGGCTTCGCTCCGGCAGGGCAGCACCTGTCCCCCTCCCCGTCCCCGTATCCCAAGAGCCTACAGAGGAGGGAGGTACGGTGGAAAGAGGGCCTTCAAGCAGCACCTCCAGTAACTCGGCTGAGCTCAGGGAAGGCAGCTGGCACTGTCTTCTGAGTGAGGGACTACAGCAAGGGCAGTCGGCGCAGGCGAGAGGCAGGGCTGGCTGCAGAGTGACGTCAGGAACGCACTGGAGAAGACCTGCCAGCGGCGTGCTCAGCACACTCTGCCTGCAGGGCTGCAGAGGGGCCCGAGCTCGATGCTGGCATCCACGGGCACCTGGCATTAAACCTAGGGCAACGCGCGGTGCAGTTCCTCTAGCACGAAAATAGCATTGTGGGCTCCTTATCGAGCAAAGCGGGTGCTCCAGGAACATGGCCACGGGAATGGAAAAAGCGGCCAGAGAGACACTCTAGGCCCACGGGGCTGAGAAGCCCAAGAGGCACCCCCCGACTGTCCTCACTACAGGATGCTGGGGGGTGTCCTGTGTCCTCCCAGTGTCCCCACTGCAGGACCGGGTGGGGTGCCCTACGTCCCCCTGGCTTCCTCACTGCAGGGTGTGATGGGAAGCAAGCTGTTAGGGCCTCACTCCTGTTGCGTCCAGCAGTTTCTGGCCGGTGCCCGTAGACCATTTCTCTCGTCCACCAGAATGATCGATACTGGTCCATACACTGCCTTTGGTGCGCAAGATCCCAGCCCAGCTCCAAGCCAGCAACTGTGCTGAACTCCTGCGAGGGGAGCCAGGCCCCCATCCCTGGGCGAGGGTCTAGAAAGGGAATAGGAAGCAGGCTGGCATCTGAAAGCTTCTGCTAGCTGCATATAAAAAGGTAAACAGAGGTAAACATAAACAGATGAAATATATTTTAATAATATATTTTCATGTAACTCAACATGGATAAAATATTGTACTATAACTCCTTACTGATCAGGGTTGAAATTACTGAGATATTTTGTGTTTTTTTCTGCACTGGGCTTATAAATCCATGTCCTCCTCAGTTCCTCCGAGTCCAAGCTCGTACCGCTCACCACACGGCAGGCCAACCAATCGAGAGACAGGTGTTGGCACAAAGAACAGCGACTTTATTTGGAAAGCAAGCAGACCGAGAAGAGAGTGACATCCTAAAGAAATGCCTTGCCTAGAGTTGGATGTTAGTTTCTTTTATGCTACGCAGAGGGGAGGGGTGGGAGGAGGTATGGTCCTTGCACATGTCTTGGTGCCGGCCAGACCCCGGAGGGGGTGTGTTAAATTCTTTGTTCTTGCAGCCATTCACATGTGGGCCTGGTCAAGATATTCCTGTGAGCTAAATGAAGGTATTTTAGCTTAATGCTCGGGCATGGTAAGCAGGGTTTCCCGAAAGGGGCCATTATGTGTGCTTTAAGGTTATAGGCAACATGCCTTTAGTGATTAACTTGCAGCAAAAGCAATAGAAATACAAAGGTTAAAGTAAAAGAAACAGATCCAATATGGAGTCAGATTTGTTCTTCCCTATTATACATTCACAGGCTCTCACTTTGAAGGAGCCACAGTTCAAGTGCTCGACCGCCACGTGTGGCCGTGCCTCCTGCCCTGGGCACTGCGGGCTTTCAGGTTGCCCGTGACCATCAGCCTGCAGCCACAGAGGGGCCCCTAGGCCACATCAACCTGATCTGTTCTTACCTCTTGCTGCATTGAGGGCCAGGTGTCCCACCTGGGATCCTGATGCCCAGCTGGGCACTGAGGCCGTGTGGACCGCCTGCCCTGCCTTCCTAGCCTGGCCTTGCCCTCCGCCAGGTCCCTCCCGCTGCCAGCCTCCAGGATCCCCCACGAACGTACTGACCCCTGGCTTTGTCAACGTGTCAGAAAGGAAAGAATTTCCATGAAGTTATTTATGAAACCTACCTTGACAAGTCAGTCTGCTGCTTTGAACTAAAATACAGTGTAAAAGCCAACTAAGCGTAACGTTTTGAGATTTCCTGCAATCTGACCATTTTATTCATGGAAGATGAGTTAATGAATTCCATTAAAACCACGCTGTTCAGTAACTGCAAGCAGTGCTCTGGAGATAACTCTCATTGATTCTTTTCCAAACGGCCCCTCTTGAACGTCTTGATTGTTTCTACTCTGGGAACCTTGGTTCCAAAGAGACCTTTCCCATGGATTCCTGACGACAGTGAAATCCCTGGGGTGCCCTGAAGGCGGGGCTGCAGGATGGAGCCTCTGGGCTCAGCCTCTTTGATCTAGTATCTCCTTGTTAAGATAAGGCACTTTAAGATCATAGTGCCTCCTGACTAGAAAAACAGGACCGAAGTGTTCTATGGTGGGAGCTAAGTTCAGAGATCTGACCTGTGAGTGACCCCCCCCAGGGCCACACTTTCCACAAGAGGTTCGTTGTCCAGGGCCTGCTGTGAGGTTTCTCTTAGATAAAACTTGGTTTTTTTCCCTTTTGCTTACATATTATTTTCCCAGGCAGACAGATTTCTATAGTTTTGATTAAATTGCTAGGCTCTTTAAACTGGCTTTGCTTTGGCATGTGTGTATTTCTGGTTATCTTGATTTGATGTATTGTATCCTGGCCTCTCAATTAAATTTGAGAGACACCTTTTTTTTTTTTTTTTTTAAGTTAAATTTGCTAGACACTCAGATTTCTTGGTAAAGATGCAGGGAATGTCCTCGCCCCTTAAGCTGTCAGACCTCTCAGGAGGGATTATTGCTCGGTGGCTGCACTTGGCAGGGTTATGTTGACTCTTCTATTCATCAGAGGGAATCTCATAATTATATATGACTGTCGTCAGGAAAAGGTTGAATTATCTTGGCTATTTTCTCTTTTCTGACGTAGAAAAGTCTTATTTCTACGAGCCCTGTTTATGCCCCGCAGGTCTGGGTGGTCAGGGCAAGGGAGGCCCAAGCAGAGATACGGGCCAGGAAGGGAGCTGCGGTGGCTTTAGGGCTCACAGTTTTATTTCCCTCCTCTCGGGGATTACAGCCCTGCCTTGCCCATTTTCCAAAGTCTCTAAGCAGCTACTGCTGTCTTGTTCAGTTTTCTGGTTGCTTACATAGTTCACAACTCAGACCAACAGCAAGACCTGGAAATCTTTGTTCCCTACCTACCTCCTCCCCAAACACAACACGTTTTGTGAGTTTCTGGTGAACCCTTATTTTGGAAGCAAACTATGCAAATGCCCACATGGACCTTCTCATTCACTTTCTTTTTTCACAGACGATAGACACTGTGTGGGATGTCCAGCACCCTGCTTGTGTCTTGGGGAGCCCTCCACTCTTCCACATGGGGACCCTCCTCTTGCCTTTTTAACCAAAAAAACATTATTTGTTTATTTATTTGGCTGTGCCGGATCTTAGTTGCAGTACATGGGCTCTTTAGTTGCGGCTCCAAGGCTCCTTAGTTGCGGCACGTGGGTTCCTTAATTATGGCATGCAAACTCTTAGTTGCGGCATGCATGTGGGATCTAGTTCCCNTTACGCGGGCCTCTCACTGTTGTGGCCTCTCCCGTTGCGGAGCACGGGCTCCAGACGTGCAGGCTTAGCGGCCATGGCTCACGGGCCCAGCCGCTCCGGGGCACGTGGGATCTTCCCGGACCGAGGCACGAACCCGTGTCCCCTGCATCGGCAGGCGGACTCTCAACCACTGCACCACCAGGGAAGCCCCCTCTTGCCTTTTTAACAACAACAAAAAAACCCATTATTTATTTATTTATTTGGTTGTGCTGGGTCTTAGTTGCAGCACATGGGCTCTTTAGTTGTGGCTCCAGGGCTCCTTAGTTGTGGCACGTGGGTTCCTTAATTGTGGCATGCAAACTCTTAGTTGCGGCATGCATGTGGGATCTAGTTCCCTCTTCAGGGATCAAACCTGGGCCCCCTGCATTGGGGCTGCGGAGTGTTACCCACTGCGCCACCGGGGAAGTCCCTCCTCCTGCTCTTTATGTGCATAGTTCTGCATATGCGGATGCACTGCAGTTTAGTCAGCCAGTTCCCTGCTGAGCGACATTTGGGTTGTTTCTAATATTTTGCTTTTACAAATATTGCTTTAAGTGAAGACCTCAGGCATATAACATTTT